CACCTCGAATAATTGAATTTTGTTGACATAAGTTCACTGATTGAGAAAGACCAAGATCACAAATAAATGATACTGTCTCAGACATATTGTCATAATCTAAATCATGCAAAACAATGTTTCCACCATGAAGATCACAATGAACTAATCCCACTTTATGGATTTTCATCAGATAATATGCAATATTACTCAATCGCCTTAATTTGTCCTTCTACTTCCATGTCAATTTGTTAATATTTTGATGCAAATAAGACAAAAGACTACCATGATTAGCATATTGCATAACAATCATGTATTCTTTTGTTTCTGGGTCTTGTGTGACTCCATAAATTTTAAGGAATAACAAATTATCATTTATGCACTTGGCATGGTTTCTGAACTATTATATTAAACAAATAATAATAATGTCAAATTAGATAACACTTTAATTAAAACTATCAATTCTTGCTTACCTCAGAAATAAATAATTCTGGTGTTTTGTCAAAATTCTTAAACCGTTTAAGTACAACAGTTTGTTGCATTTGTCTTACTTCTGAATAGTTTCTATATTTGGCAGTATAAACTGTTCCATACCCACCAGATTCAACTTTTTTGAGTTCATAAAAGTCAGCATACTGCATATACTCAACATTTTTGTTAATGCATATATATCGATCCAACATTGAATGTAGGTCATAGTAGAAAACTAAGTAATATTCCTGAGTAAATAACTCTTGTGTGATTCCAATTATCCAAATATTATATGGAGTTAATATGTTTGGATACTCCTTAATTAGCTGTTGAGTAATAATACAATTATTACAACAATCAAATACATAATACAATACATTCTTATTCTTGATATTATTTACAGGAATATTTACCTGATGAAAATCAAGTGACTTATTATCACTTATCTGCTTGAGTGCCACTTGTGTTGATTCATTTGTTACTGGGTCTAACCATTTTGCTGTAAATGTACATCCATGGTGTAGTGATAGTGAGGGTACCTGCTGTACATTCATCAACAAAGAATACTCTATCCATTGTATATAGGAATCATATGTATATTTAATATTACACCATGACTCCATAATGAATAAATCCAAAGACTTGTTGCCTGTAGTCCAATTGAGAGGTTTTGGTGCTTTACACCAATAACAGAATGCACTTATATTGGATTCTAACTGCCATGAACATGCCAGACATAACCCATCCTCACATTTTATTAGACAATACTTTTGTTCACTTGCATCATATGTAAGTCCAATGGTAATCCAACCATCTGAATGAGTACTGTATGACTAGTGGAAATTATATGTAAGTCAAGATTCATCTAAACAATAATTAACATAATTATATTCTATCTGCACTTGCTAGTCACCTTGTCATAATATAAATCATCCAATTCATCTGTTATCTCAAGTGGAATCAATTCAACTCGATAATTGTTATCAATAACAGGTAGACCATACAAGTATACCCATCCATAACTCACTTCAAGACAATCAAATGGAATCCATTCCAAATAGACATCATTTGGCGAGTTTGTTTGTAGTTGAGATTTCTTAATAAAGTCATCGAGTTGCTTACTGTTGCTAGTCCATCCACTGGATAATTGTTTATGACCACAAATGCACCACACAGGACTACATCGGAGTATTTGACATGCAGAACAGAATCCATAGAGAGAATAATAATGATAAAAGCGTCTATTAGTAATCATGTAATAGTTATCATTATACTTGGTAAATCCCTTTATGAAATTATTGCGGTAATAAAGCCATCTTTTGTATCTTCTGAACTGATTAACGTCATTGTTATATTTGCGTGTTGGAAAAAGTGAGTATATTTTGACAAACTCACTCACAAATGTTGGTGTACATTCTTCGTTACGTCCAAATAATACCAGCACTATCAACGTTTCATCAACTGTGTCATCAATAAGCATTTTTTTGCGAATAGCGTAATGGACGTTATCTATTGAGCTTGACTTTATGTCACTAATTTCCTTGTATGGAATCCATTCAAGTTTTAAGCGTTTATCCTCACTTTCTAAGGAGGCTCGAATCAAGTCGTCAATTGCTGGATTGTGCATATTGACCTCTGGAGTTGACATTGTTGTTGAATAACCGAGAGAATGATAACTCCGACGACGGTAACACAACATAGCCGACACCCTATCACAAAAAGCAACCCATTTATGATTTGGGAAACATAAATTTTGCTCGAGATATGTGAATACATCTGAAGTTCTGGCTCTGTTTTTATATTTTATTAACTTCATTCAATTGCGCGACTATCAGAGTGGAATGAGCAGACGATGAATTGTACTAAGAAATTATGTTTTCATATTTTTATCTCTTCACTGTTAAATTTGACCTAAACGTATTATTCATTTCCAACAGGCACCTGTATTGAAGGCATCATACTTGGCAAGAAGCGTAGGACACCACGATTATAGCGATTCCATGCAATACTTCAGGGCAGTACATTAATCAGAAATCTTTGATAAAGCATTGTTTCAATCTTCTTGCGGATTATTTATTCAAACATCGTTATTCTTATCATGTCACATATGCGGTATTGATAAAAATATACGTAGTTATTTATTTCTAACATTCACTTGATCAAACTAAAAAATGCGTAGTCGCTCCCTGCAAAGTCAATAATTAAATGTTTTATATTTAGATCATCATCAAGATATAATGTAATGCAAGGTATGACGTACAGTAACTTCAATAAGACGCATATAACGTGATGAAATCTCTAAGCTAAACCATTTACTAACTTCGAAATATATTAATCTTTTATCTGGTTTTCATCGCTACGGTATTTAATTCCATCGGTTTACGCACTATAAAGGAGCATACGTATTTAAGACGCGCACGCGATTGCATAAACTTCCTAACGGGTAAGATTCACGTATACTATATAATCGATAATATAGATTTAGCAATTTAACGACATTATCCATCGAGTATTTAAGAACGGGAGGCAATCATAACAATTATTCGTAGAGGTAATACTTTCCCGACAACCATTTTACCGACAGGGTTATTCCCCGTAGGTTATTTCACTGACATCATTTCATCGACAAATAACTATTCACCAACGTTATTTCGAAATTAATCTTTTGATAATTGACTGTCGGTGAAAAGGTGTCGATAAAAATATTATGGCTGTCAATGTTAGAACACGGACCCTTTAAGAATATATATTACGACAGAACATTTAGTTCATCTGAGGTAACGAATACGTTGGCAACAAGTAGCAGTCTTCACGGAGATTCAATGCCAGCCTTGATTATAGAGAGTATATCAGCCCAGGAAAATGATCTTCGATTGAGCGAGTCGCTATTAAACATAAAAAACAAATTAATTCATATTTGAATATTTTTCACCTAATTTGACAACGACTACAAGCATAGTAGGTTAAAGACTTAAGGGAACATACTTACGAAGAAAAGCAACTGTATATTCAAATATTAGCTAATTAATGTCATTTCGAAGCTTCAAGTCAACTACGCTATACATTTATATTTATTAACTAAGAATATCAACTCTGCTGCACTAATTACTGATATTCTGCCTATAGAGAGCCACAGACGCACATGAAATGTTAATTTTTATGAATTCCACACTCCGTGCGAATAATAAAACTAGTGTTAGCGATGGATGTTAGCATGCCATGTAAGGACGGCATCTTATATTCAGACACAAACTTGACATAAGTACAGGACAAGATTGAACGAGTGCCGAATTCGATTTATAATTCCGATCTCATTATGACCAACCCTCTGGCTTGCCTTTTAGTACTCGCATATCACGTAAATTAAGATACCATCCATTCCAACAATTAAAACTCTCCAATCCATTGAGTCATTGCAGTAACTACAAGAGACAAGCCCACTGTTAAGATTTGAGTAAAGGACAAAGCTCTTAACACAACCTCTAGTTAAAAATAATTTCGTTATAATCGTAAACAATATTGTATCACATTGATATTGTATACTCGTTATTATTATTATTATGTTTATGATTAATATTAAACAATGTATATATGATATCACTCACATCATTGGCGATTTAGAAAAGCACTGCATTCAATAAATGTATAATTTATTAGTGTTGGAAAAATCCATTAAGCTTAACTTGCGGATTTTCTGAAACCTGTTACATGGGTAAAATAAACAAGAAAAGACTTGGATGCAAGAAAAATTTTTTTACTTACCCTTACGAATATTTAAACCGAACAATCCAACTAACGTTGGCAAATAAATTCAAATCAACGGTGGAAAATACTATTAACATAAGGAAGAAGAGACAGTGCTTGTAATTCAATATGAGAACGAGAGTAGCTGGCTATTTCTCATTTCGAAAAGTTATCAATTTCATTTGGATTGTTTTAAGTAATATGTACACAAACTTTAAAACCGTGTTAAGAATCGGGAGAAAACAGCGAGCGCATTGGTTAACAATTATCTGTATTTAGAACTGAGCCAAATTTGCAGTAAGATTTAGAAGAGTGTAACGCAGACGAGATTGATTTCTACTGAAAGTTAGAACCCATAAATTCTTGCCAGTGGATATATTAAAAATCGATAGACAAATTCACTGTAACATGGATACCAACGTTTTGTTTCTAAAAATGAATCAAACAATTAACGAATGAAATAGAAATTAAAAGTGTAGAAATGGTCGAGATTATTTCTTGCATTCAAAAATTTTGATATAAAAGTAAATGGATCAGCAATCTCCGGAATGAAGATCTACGGCGTTAACTTTTATGAAAAAATGAAATCACATATAGTCATTCTCTTTAGTTGTCGTATTCGCTTGTTGCTTTTTTAGTTAAAATTAGGATATTCACTTCTGCCGTGTCACTTTGCTTATCTTTATTATTTAACCTTTACGAGAAACTCTATTATCACGTGAGAGCTTAATAATATTAATAGTAATAAATAATAATGACCAGTAATAGTAATAGTAACAGCCACTTTTACCGCAACTGCTCCATTGACAATGTCAGAGACCTCGAACACACGACCATTAAATAACATGGCAATACAAGACATATTGACGGAAGAGTCTCCTCCTCCATATACACCAAGTCCCAATGCGGGAGAACAGTCTGTTGCGTTTGGCCCTTCACGGCCGTGGGCAGAAGGCACATATCAACAACCTACATATCGACCTCCGCATCCACAAGGAATGAGGCCCCCGCAACCTATGTATTATAACCAACCCACACAAACAACATATACAGTCGTCTCGTCCTCGGGATATCCAAATACTCATACGCTTACATATCCCCATGGACATTATTGTTATAAGTGCAAGAACACAGGATTTAAAAAACCTGGAAAAGCATGTAGAGATTGCTGGTCTAGATTTAGCACTCCTGCAGCGGTAAGTCATTATCCAGCACAAAGTTATGCCCGTCCGGCAATCACTCAAGCGGCTCCCGGAGCAGGAGCAGGCAGAGGATATATTCAATATTCTCAGCCTGGCAATCCCCAACTGGGTGGAAGACTATGTCCGGTGTGTAGAGGTATGTCTATGTATATATGAATAAGGAAGGGAGAAAGGAAAGAAAGGAGGAAGGAAGGACCGAATGATTCAAATAATATGTTTTCATTGGCGATGAACACGTCATATCGAACCGATGTATTGTCTAGTTAGTTTGCGTTTACATTTAGAGACATTCTATGCGTTAACGTAAACTGGGAATTTGCATCGTTTGCCCCCGTTCTAACGATTGTCTATACGTTCCATGTTATAGGTCCAGGTAACATAAAAATGCCGCTATTCGGAACGCAATTATGTCCAGCGTGCAAAGGTGTTGGAAGAGTTTATAGTGTCTATTGATAGAGAACATTACAACGGGAAGCATCAAGTCAAGCATTATACATACGGATAGAGAATATTAGAATACAGAAAGCGTGAATCAGCAAGCGATATATAATGGAACTACTATAATAACAACTAGTGTATCATAATATTTATATCTATTATATAACAAATCGAACCAGCTATTAAAGATTACGATAGGCCGCATACTTGAACGTTCGATGCGAACAGCGATTGCAGATGTTGATTCTCTCCCGTCCGCTATAGCTTCTTTACAACTTCAATTCTTTTCCGAACAAATGAACTTTGCATAACAAGAGTTTTTGCTCTTCACACCAATTTGATTTGCTGCGGTGTACGCTCAACGTTTAGGTTGTAATCAATTTTGTGTATTGTTGATTCGGTTCTCTTAGAATAGGACGAACTCGAGAGGATGTCGGTTTTGAAATAAGACATAAGTTGTCCAATGGGACCTGGAATAACATGTGCGATAATTAATGAAATCGACGAATTATATTATAATTGTGGAATATTAAAATTATTGTGTCATGACCGATAATAAATTAATTCAATCATTAAAAGCCCGAATAAGTAGAAATTAATAACAAGTTTGAACAATGCGTGTTATCAGGAATGTCATTCTACTAAGAATCCGTACCGCGTGGGGGTTGACATCAAAATCTCGGCTTTGCGAATTTTTGAGTCAACCGAACTGCTATCCATATATAGGGTTACACGATAATGGGAGAAAAACTGTTGCGTCTGTTCTCAACAGCTTCTATATTATATTCACAACAGTCCATATATCGGTTCGTCTATGGCATGGCATGTCAATTCAATAATTGAATAATAAATCTAATTATAGCAACTGTTTAACCGACGAATAAACCTCAATTCTTCCGCACTAGTGCACAAACTAGAATTCTAGCCACAAGTGGTCTAATTTGCTTATAGTATATAGGCCATGGTTATGCAATAACCATAATTGTGGCAGTGCATGCTGTACCAAGACCGAAAACTAGAAAAAAGGGCGGTTTCGTGACTTAACGCACGATCATGTGGGTGCGTCACCAATGCCTCGCGTCCGCTTCAACATGCGAGTACTTTTACATGCTCTCGCTATCTGATCGCCAACCATATTCCCAGACAATTGCGTTCAAGCTACTGCGATAATGCTACTGATACGGTCTAAGTTTGTGTCATTTTAAAGGTCATTTCAAGATGTACAACATAAGCAACAAAATGAAGGAATCTGGAAACACGAATCCCGTACAATCTTATACAGTCGTAAACCTCCCATAGAGTCACAGGCTGGTTATTCTCATGGTAGTTTATCTCTCTTACATGTGATAATCACGGTCACCCCAATTTTTAAGGCTTTGTCACTAGTGTAATATTCATAATCTAATGTTGGTATGCCATGTACAATTGCATGATTGTTGTTTTTAAAATTATCACATTAACTTCACAATAATAAATATGATGTTTGTGAATATATCAGATAACATCCAAAAATAAAGCACAACACACTAGCAAACTGTTTAATACGTTTCATAGAAAATTTGTTGTTAAGCATCAATGAAAATTGACATTTGTTCTAAAAATTTTATTGTTATTACCATTGTCAAGACTCACCATCAATAATATTTACAAAATCTAACAATTTTTTTGTCGGGTTTAATTTTTTTCTTTCAAGATATTCCGTAGAGCGAGAGTTGAAATGATAATTTAATTACATAATCATTCATAACACTTTCCAGTTTTTCCTGGTCACGCCTGTGTGACTATAGGGAAGGTTGAGCACCAAAAGGTTGTGAACCTGTTGGAATTTGCCAATGTTGATTACGAACACGCAGGCATTTCATCGATGGTAAAAACGTGCAGTGTTCGATAAAGATTACATAATCTTTCTTGGAGGCATGAATGCGATGTATGATATAGCATAAATTTTCGTCGACCAAAACTTTTGTAGTTTCTTACAATTTATCATAGGAATGCATGCATACCTGCATACCCCTGACTTTTACGTTACATGAAAAATTTAGGTTAAACTTGTGCAACATGTAAAACAAAGACATTTGAGTTGCACTACGTTTCGGTTAAAACCTTACTACTCTCTTAATGTCAATCATCGTTTGATATTTGAACAGCACAACCGAATCATTAAATTTCGTTTGAATATGAATATTTTTCTAAAGAGCTGTTCATACCAATCTACGATAACATGGAACTTTGCTATATAGTCTTATGAGTTGAACGTTTTTAGCGGTATCGTTCTTTTGATGCCGTTTGATAATTTGAACGACAGAATTTTATCAAGCGTGTCCAGATTAATGTTGAATTATTACGTATAGGGAGTAATGGATCAAAGGCGAATTAAATCTGCTTTCTACAAAATACAATTGATTATTACAGTGTACGCATCGAATTAACGAATAAAATGAAGGAATCTGATATGCGAACATCAAACGTTCGAAAATCCAAATTAAGGAAAAACGAAATTAAAAGCAGTCGACCGTAATAATAAACAAACATGGCAGACTCAAGAAACGTTAATTTGCATATTTATCTTGAGCTTAGCAGCAGTGGCAGTTTCATACATCACGTTACTCTGGCTAGAAAATAAGTGTTCGGTAATTCAGTACGGCAAAAAGCATATGATCAACAACGATTGTTATGGTTCTCAGGCGTGGCTTCAAAATGTTGTCAATTGTAGATTGTCCGCACGACCAGAAAAGGGATACGGAATGTGTTGTTTTATGTGAACGTTGCTGTAAACACAAAGTCTGTTCTGGTCTTTTGGGCAACCTTTGGTCATGAAACTGTACACAAACACCGACAAATTTAAATAAATAATATGCTCGCCAGCGGTGTCGAACCCCACAATAGTCAATCTCTTTTCGGGACAGTTTGAGTGAACGGAAAAAATTTGCCAGCCAGTGATGTGTCCATTCATCTTATTTTCATATGACACATGTTGATTATGTAGCGTTATAACTGACATCGCAAGGGATAATAATAAGAACAATTAACGCTAAAAAGCAGTGTTACATGGAACCTTCTCAATTCTCGCTTTTGTCAGGTTTTGTTGCAGCATGCATGTCATATGTAGGTTTTACCCGTAATAGTAAACTTGAATCGCATCTGAAACCCTGCCACCAACCCCTAATCTGATGCTTGTGATACAGAAACTTTATACTGTATTGGTATAATTCCAAGTATAATTATATCAGAAATAGAATCATAGCCCCAAAGTTACCAATTTCGTAATCATATGGTACCAGTTTATGATCTTATTAGGCACACTAACACATGTGATTCGAGTTTTTAAGGTTCTGTTGGTTCCCACGAACCTCGATAATCAGGGTCTGTTATTATTATCGACTTTAGATTTTGACAGCTAAACTAAAAAACCAGTACATTCGTTTTCAATACCATGGTGGTCTCGTTACTGATTATTTTTTTAGCAAGGGTGTTTGTTACTATTATTATTACTTGAACTTACATCAATTAAGCCTCATATTCATATTTTAATGCGTCTATTGCTAAAGCAATCTAATACCATAATCTCGTTCAATGCACACAGCCCACAATCACATGGAGTCAAACTCAATTCAGGGAAAGTTATCAATCAAAGATCTCATCTTCGCTAAGTATTTATAAGCATGATTACAATATTAATATCGCTTTGGATTAGCTGGAAAAAAAAAAGACTCTGTCCCCGTACTAGTACCAGGCAATTCAAACATCCTCTGCTTAGTCCAAATTCCCTTTGCATGCAAAGGGTCCCCATACATTCCCCTCATCATTACCTTACAATGCCATCACCTACTCATCCCCCACAAAATTTAGCCGCCGCGCTTCCCTTCGAAGTCTTAGAGATGATCATAAATGATCATTTGTGTGAAAATGAATACACCGTCATCCGAGTTCCTCGACGGAAGGCCCTTATGAACACAGCTCTTGTAAATAAAAATTGGTTTAATCTGAGCATGCGAATTTTGTGGAGTACTATTTTCGAAAACGGCTTTACCTTGTCGACCCTGGAAATTCTATTAAGATGCTTACCGGCAGAGACTAGGCGAGACCTGGGAATTTACGAATTACTTCCTACAGGACCTTTGCTGACATCCTATGGCATATACGTAAAATCCATATTACTGGAAATGCTGTTCTGTTTCGTCGATAGATGGCTCGGAGAAAACCTGCCTGACAGCAACACGCCAAAGAAAAAGAGAGCAATCGTGCGCGCTCTACTTGAATTTTTTAACACGCATAACAATAGCGGCTTGAATAAGTTGGAGATAGCCGGGCTTCACATTAACCGATTATGGGCGAGAAATTACGAAGTAATATTTGATTCCAGTAATTGGATTGAAAATCTGCAGGTATTTGTGATTAGAGCTGCATTCGATAGTACCAGTTTTATAAACCGACTAGCTGATGTTTGCACAAAAATTGTAAGTACTGGGATGTGTTTATAAAAGAGAACGGGTATTTATTGATTATTGTTATCGGCATCAATTAAAATCGCCTACACCAAATTCTCATCCTAGACCACACTAGAGATTGACTATTTCAACTTCGACGGAGCTCCCGAAACAGACGAGATAAAGGCAGCCTTGAGACTAATAACTGCTCAAAAAAAATTGCGTTCTCTTACCTGGAGTAGCGTCGTGAGCGTTGACCCTACAAAACTTCTTAACGCATTATCCAGTATCTCTCGTACTCTAGAACACATTGAAATTGAACATACGGATTTCAGTAATGTCCTGTCATTATGTCCTCTTGCCCAATGTTCAAACTTGGAGACAATGGTGTTCAAAGAATGCAAGAATATCAGTGAGCAGGCTGTGCAAACGTTAGAAGCGCAACAAAAATTAACAAAATTAAAAGAAGTTAAGTTAATTCGTTGTAGCCATTTCGAAGCTCTGCAATCATTTGCGAGTCGGAGAAACGTCCTGCAACAAGGCATGACTTTTGATTTGCCACTTTACTAATATAAATAAGGTATGTAATACCAAAACTTATGCCATAAATATGTACATCAACCAAATAAAGACTTGTTTATGTAAAAGTTTTTAAACTGCGCGAAAAAAAGGCGACATTTTTACTTACGCATGATAAGAGGAAGGACTATTAATCTTGCCCGATTTTTTTGAGTTCTAATCGGGTAATGTGCTTGCATTATCGACAAGATTTTCGGTTACGTAAATCAGCTCATTAAGAGCACGCCTAACTTTAGAATGGGTAATTTTCTCTGACTTTACTTTTGCCGTGTTTCGGAATATTGGGGGATGTAGTTTCATCAGAAAAAGTAGCCTCGTCCAGTCCATAATTATCGCTATTATATGGGTCAAATTCGATACAAACATACATAAAAAAAGAATGTCTCGAAATCTAGTATTTCGGAATGTAGTTTCATCAGAATGTACTATTTGTCTGTGGGTTCAAAAAAGAATTCTCTAGTCTTGTTTTCTATTAAAAAAGTCTTAGAAATGGGATATCTGTCAAAGGGTACCGGCATGATGATAACTCGATAGGGTCTTTAAATAATTGATTAACAATCATAATTACAAAACCGATATTAAGCTGTTCTGCAGATTCTCGCATCAAATAACCTTTCTTAACCCTATTTGATAGTTGATAACGTCTCCGCTTTTATTTTCGGTTGCCGTTCGCTGGATTTGAACCTGATGAAGTGATTCTGTCGCTGTATATTAAATGTGAAATCAGAATCAATTAAGAATATTTCTGTAACGGTCCGAGTTTTCGAATGTAAAAGCGTTCCAGTGATCATTATCCTCCAAGTTAAAGCAACTGTGGTCAGTTAGCTTTTCTTGAACGTCTTGCGGCTTGGTGAATTCTCGAAATATTCCCCTTTCCTCAACCCACTGTTCGAATTGTCGACGATTACCAAGAACATACATATATCGAGGATTTTTCTTTACGACTTCTTCAAAGCGCGACGATGACTTATATGAGCGAAACAGCGCACTCCACAACATGTTACCAAAGTCGCTGATAACATTGTGAATAGAATGTCAGCTCATAACGATAAATATTCAAATAAGCGATTTTACTAACAAATATCACCTACTCTGCATATAGCACGAATCTTGCCCGCAATCTCAGGAATTCTCGTTTCCCGAATACCTTGGCATCGTCATATACATCGCCCATGATGGCAATAAGGATATTTAACATAATAATAACTAGAAGCAAGCTTGCAATGACGGTGAAAATTGTAACTGGATAGTAATTCCAGTCCACATTATCCCATCTCCCGTTCATCCAATTATAAGAGGATAACACAGAAGTCCAGAAACTTGCAAAACTATTGTCAGACACATCTTGTGGATTGTAATTTTGATATACTGTATAATTAGTGTGTTCGACGCCGCCATCAGGAGTTGTCATGTTGACACCGAGTTGTAGGAGATTTGGTGACAGACCAATTTGTGTTGGATCATGCAAAAGCACGTACCTTTGGTGTGAAACGCGGGATTTAGTATTTTATATGACTCTTTCAAGAAATAGTATAATAACTACTTACATGGCATGTCCGAATGCTACAACGAGTATAAACAATGACACCAAGAACGGTAAAATACGCAAGATTGTCTCTGATAATGAACACATAAGTACCAATAGCTGTGACGTATTTGCAGGCAGCAATAATGTTTAAGTATATTACGCAAAAATACTCGAAAATCGAAAAATCATGTCTCACCTTCAAATAGTCTTAGAAGCATCAGTAATTGGAACCACATGATGAATGTGCTAATGGAAATAAGGAAGATAATACCTCTACCTATTTCTGTCTGGCTAAATCCCCATGCCCCATTGTCATCACGCGTTGCTCTGGATGTCAAGACTGCAGTTGTTATTATAGGAAGAATAACGTTGACTATTTTGTAGAATGTCCTGCTTTTTCGTTTATGATACCGCAGTTCATTCAATTCAAACAATGCATAATATGTCCCAATTACAAAGAGGTATATAACTAAAGCATAATGACTGTTGTTTTGATGAATGAATTCCCATATAAATATATCAAAGGCTATCAAATAAGAAAAAAACAGAATCAAAAAGACGAAATAGAAATGAGATGTCTCCTCCCATGCATTATTGATAAGGCCAGTAAAAAACGGATGTTCGGAAAATATTTCACTACCCCCTTCAGCCACAGCATTTCTTAGAATCCTAACGACGACGTCGACGTCAACTGGCACTGGAAAACGACGTATCTCATGAACCCTAAACGAAAAATCACGTGAAACCATTAAAACAATGGCTAATATGTGGGTGCGTTTTTAAGGTTACCAAAATCCTCAAGTTGCCACCTCATCCTCAATGGAACATATTTCATGCTTACCGCGACGAAACTCTGTCAACTGCATGTTCGATCATTTTCAAAGCAAATGAGAAGGGGGTAAGCATAACTTTTACTATCATCCCAAGCTTAACGTTCCGAAGCCGTCGTTTCAATTGACGAACCCACAACTTGAACCTTAGCGTGCCCTTGACTATCATATAGGTCTGTCTCAGATTTGCAATCAACATTATATCATCTTCCGTTAATATTAATGACCGCAAGTTATAGTTAATCTCTGGTAACAATCGAAAATTGGTTGTGTAAGATGCAGGAAAATGTTTATGACCATGTGATATATCTCCGGCGAACGTCGGATGAGCAAACAATCTCTTTCTATTAATATCCAGGTCTAATAAAAAGGTAAATAGTAAGAAAAACTTGGTGATAAATGTAGTACCAGATTTAATCGACTAATATTTTGTTTCAATACTCACTGCTTCTTTTAGATGACTCGGATAACGCCAATAACGCTTGTCCCATTGTATGCATCCAACTATAATGGTCTTTGGCATGATGAGCATAGTACGCGAGAAAGTTCTCGGTCAACTTGTCCCTTTTCTCGATGGCTACCATTATATCAGTCTTCTTCTCTTTCAGTGTTCCGTTATCATTGTGCCATGAGTATTTTCGCGGAATGTGTAACGCAAGACGATCCTTTTCATCTTCATTGTTTTCATCATCACTAACTCTAACCAAGTCTTGTGTCAGGCGAGAACATCCTCCAATGATTAAAGACTTCATCAAGTCGTGTCGCACTTCGAGTAGCCTCCATTCATCGGGATGGTATTTAATAAAAATGCGAACAATATTGGTAACTTGATGTTTGATTTCGTCGAACAATACGCGTCTCTCGAATTGTCCATAGTTTTTGTCCTTCTCCTCATCCAACCATTCAAGGGCTTTACATGCATCTATAACACTTTTACTAGGATCAACTGGCCATTTGATTAGCAAGTCATCATCATCAAGCTCGATTTTGAGATCGAACCCATTTTTGTAAACGGTGATAGTGACCTCCCTCGGCTTTGCTTTGATTTTAAAGGCATATATGTATAATAATAAACGATAGCCATCTGGAAGACGCTTCCATATTTGTATAGAACCTTTTCCGATAAGAAGTTGTCGTCGACTTTTCTCCTCATTTCCATCTAGCCATAAACCTATTATATTGTTACCATCTGAT